GAGTGTGGTTTTTCAAAAGTTAAAATTAAAATTATCTTTTTCTGTCAAAGATTGAAAAACTTGTGAGCGGTGTTATATTGCTATAAATGAAATGTGTACGATTACAAATTATGTAAAATGTTCCAAAACTTAAAATGTTAAAAAATGAAACTTTTTCGCAATTTTTTGTCATTATAACGTAACGTGAACCAGCGTCGTATGCAGATTAACATACTGAACTTTTTTGTGTACCGCACGTTTCTTTTAAACACCGAATAGTGTGTTTACTGTATTTTAAAAATATAATATTATCGCATTTTTTTTTTTTTGCAAAACTAACAAATATTCTCTTCTTGCTGCACGAGCAACAGCTATACCTATACGAGAGACTAGACCCTTTAAACACGATAACCATTATCTACTGAAATTATTTTGTACGATGCACGCGAGCGGCCGAATTTTCATGCGCAAGTTAAATATTAACGTCGTCGTTTTAGGTTCGCACACACAAGAATGATTTATAGCTCAGGACATGAGATAATTGAGACTGTAGGAGGAACGTCAGTGTACCTTTGCTCGTGTGGCGAGGCTCCTCTTTTACTTTCTCGTCGTCGTCTATATTCACTATCCAGTTTAGAGCATGCTTTTCCCTCTCGCTCTCCTTCCTCCCCTCCGCCCCCCGTAGTCTAATGTCTTAATCTTCCGTGTGTGAAGAATTGGGCCGGGTCAAATGAAATTTGCATAGTCGTTACCAGCCTGCCTTTACCGAGGGATAGTTCCGTAGATCCGCCCCAAGCTCTTTTGGCTCTTTCGGAAAAGAAGACGACTGGTACCATGATCCGTTTGATTGCTTAGGATAACATTCGTCTCGTCGCTGATCCGAATCTTCAATGAGGGGAATTTTAAAAAGCACATTTTCGTGACGTGCGTATATCATAAAAGGATATATATAGATATACATAAGAATATATATAACTATATATAATAAATAAAATTATAATTTTTCTGTTAAGATATATTCCAATCTTCGATAAATCGTGTTTCTAAAGAGCTTCTACTTTTTAATTTTCTCTTTATGTATTTCAATAAATCGTAATAAATATTTATCATTCAATCGAATTGATCGAATTAAGTTGCGACGAAAATACGTGTCGCTTTACAACAACGGGCGTCGTACTCTACAGTTCTCCAAGTAAATAAATTATGTATGTGGCGAGCGCGCCAAACGTTTCTGGCTTTTCAAGTTATATATCCGATACGATAACGCGGATAAAGGACGTCACGGTGTCCTCGATCGATCTTTAATAAGCGTTTCGTTCCGCGGATAAGGATTGAAGATAGTATATGCGGGGAGAGGCGCGGGGAGTCTCGCGTTAGTGAAGCGCGCGGCAAAGGAGGATGTAGGAATAACGTAGAACGCGTTGCCTAGGTCGGGAGGTTTAGGAGCTACTACGGAGCCGATAAGGGTTTGCCAGGCATGCCCGTTAACGACTATGTAAATTGACGGGTCTATTTATTCTAACCGTTGGTATATCGAAAGCGCGCTAGATGAAGAAATCAGAGGCCGGTAGTACGAACCACCGCTTCAAAACGCTACGATCAATTACGTCGATACATTAAATTAAAGTACAATTATTTCAATAAGCGTTTGTTTCCCCGTAATTAAAGGAAATCGGATCTCTCAGTTTTTATATATATACGTTTTGTCTTCGTATATTATCTCGCCGCTACATTCCCCGTCTCGTCGTTGATCTCGATATCTCACATTGAACGGAATCGCAAATATAAATTTAGTGTCGACAAAATAGCTTTTTCGATAGGTACTCGATAAGAAAAAGGAGAGAGAAAGAAAAAGAGAAAGAGAGAGAGAGAGAGAAACAGTGCGGGCTATCATAACGTCCTGTCCAACCATTTTATTGCAATGCTAAAGTAGGTATTGATCCGAATCCAAGAGAATCACGAACTAAGGTGCTCGACGACCATCGATCCGTCGTGGGGGGGTGGGGGGAGGACGAGATGAAGGGAGGAAGAGGTGGAGGGTAATCATTTTCCGTGTCCTCCTGCTCCTCCTCCTCTTCCGTCGGTTATCCGAATTGGGTTCGAGGGGGTCTCGTCGGAAAGTTGGGGACTAGGAGAGGACACAAACACCTCCGTTCGGGCAACGAGGAGGAGAAGGGTTCAGTAGGGCCTCGGTTGTGAGAAGAAGCGAAGGAGATTGAAGGAGGAAGAAGATAGGG